CAAATTGACAATGACTAATGCATATGAGGATAGAATCAACCTTAATTTGTTGTCAATGGATAGACTTCGTTGGGACCATCAAAGTACGCAACTACTTTCAATCTAAACAATTTCTTATTAAACAACATGGTTGATACACAGTCATCAAAACATAATCCATCAAAATTGGAAGCCCAACCAAATAATCATCATTGGAACTTATTTAGTACTCAATTATAAATGTCCTTGCATCACGACTATATTTTATATCAAGGTCAAGGCTATTCAAAAGATGACTACCTAAGAAGCATGGAGACTTGTAAATTTATTGTGTACCCGTATCAAATACATATCCAATCTTGAATACGCTTAGATACTATCTAATGCATACCTTATACTTTTTTTAATTATTTAAAAAAATTATATTTTTAAAATTTGCGATATGTACCAAATACAATATTGCACTTTGAAAAAAAAAAGATTTTTATTGGCTTTGAACTCTTTAAAAATTCCTCATTGACAATAGATGACAAAAGTATTTTTACTTATGGCTTGTTTGGTAGAGATTCTCATTTTGCTATAGTAAATCAATTCTCATTTTCAACCACACATTCTTCAATAAAATAATATTTCTCATCACATCAATAATTTTTTCGTCTTTTTCAACCACACATTTCCCATCAAATCACTATTCAAAATCAATTTTTCCCCAAAAAAATCCCTACCAAACAAGCTATTAATTGATAAATATTGTTATTATCAATACCTTATTAAAAATAGATAACATTTAGTATCCCAGTATTTGATACATATATGCACCTCTTGGCTATGTATACAGGGATACTAACATTCGAAAATGGCCGTACCAGAGAGCTTAAGTCAGTGCAATCCAACATATTGACGTTTATAGTTTTGTAAATGGACCCAGGCTCACACCTTAAAGCTAACCCTAAAAGCGGCTGAAACGCGCACTCTGAAATCTCGCCTTTTCAGAACTTTTCATTATCATTATTGATTATTTTTTAATAGCCTATAACGTTTTCAAAGTTTCTTGGCCTATTTTAAACACAACCAAAACATAATAGCTAAAAAAGAAATAGATGGAAAAATAGAAAGCTAGAACAAGCATGTCATAGCCTCCAAGTTTGATTCATGTTGGCCACCCAACTTGAGTTTGTTTCATTTTGACCATCCAACATAATTATAATTTTACGAACCAAAACTAACGGCTAGTCCTATGCAGCTGATGGAATGCATGATTTGACACTTGTTTGACATTAAATCAACCATTTCTTCAAATAAAGAAAACTCGTATTAGTAAATTAAAAGCCTTAACTTCGCCTTTGTGTGATCCCCCTTCCATTTATTTGGCAAACTACCTTATTGGTTTAGTCTCAAATAAGTAGAGATGGCAAAAAAATTCGTTCAACCCGAAACCGATGGTGCCCGCCTAATCGGGTAATCAGGGGGAGGAAGGGACAAGGATCATTGCCCTGAAGCAGGTACGGGACGGGTAGCGGGGCGGGAATCATAGTCCCCACCCCGCTACCCGTCCCATTTAAAGTTAATTTTAAATTTAAGTTTTTT